CTCTCTCTCTCTCTCTCTCTCTCTGACTCCGAGGAATATTCTCTCGCAGAGCGACTATATTACCACAGGCAGGAACACCTAGTATTAGTATTCTCGGTATACGTTCGACGATGAGTTCTCGACGACCATCGAGAAACAGCCGAATTATCCAACGAGTCAACGAGACACGAGGCCAACTAGTTACTATGCGTCGATCACACGATCAAACAAGTGTTAGAAAAAGGTAGTAAGTGAGACCTCGTATTTCATGTGAAACGTCTCGGTTCCTCGAGGATATCCTTGCTAATCATTGTCCACCGCTTCGAGCCACTCGAGGAACGATATGCTCCATCCGTTGGATCCGTGCGATCCATGAGAACCATGAGATCCATGCGATCCATGCGACCCATGCGAACCATTATTGTGCTGTTGTTTTCCTTGCAATTGATGACTATGCTGCTGCTGCTGTGGTTGCAGTTGTTGTTGTTGTTGTTGCTGTTGCGACGGCTGTTGTTGCTGTTGACCACCAGCAGTGCTACAACTGCTACCGTCACCACCACCACCACCACCACCACCACCACTACTAGCATCGCCACTAACAACAGAGTTGAGGGATGTGTGACTGCTGATGCTGCCCGTCAGATGATTCGTTGGATGACCTCTTCCTCTCGGTCTTCCGTCGTTACGCTGCAACGCCGTATAAATGGTAGACATTGTCTGGAAGATGTCGTTCAGCTGTTTCACCTTGTTCTCCGTGTCGTTGTTGGCCTGCACGGTGTTCGACTTGGTCGAGCTCTTTCGACCGGACGCGGAAGTACGAAGGCCGGACGCGGAGGTGGGCGGCGCGGAGGCTGCCGGCAACGCTGGTAAAGCGTCGTTCGTTTTCTCTGGAAGCTCTGGTAACCTACGACGCAGCCATACGTGTCTCAACGCTTTGCCAGGTGTCATCCGCTGTTCCGGGTCCCATTTCAAACAACGGTGAATAAAGTCCAAGAAATACGGGTCGTCGCAAGTTTTCAACACCTGTCGGAGATTCCTGGAGCCTGGCGGGCCACGGTCTTTCCCTTTCCTGGAGAAACCGCCGTTCAACACGATCGACCCGTCGGACGTCGTCGTGACGGAGCAGTAGCGCGGGTAACCCTTCGAGCTGATGAACTGCTTGCGCCGTTTCGCGGATTCCAGCAGGTGTGGCGGTGGCATGCCTAGCAGCTCGATGATACAGGCCAGCTGATCCGCCTCGTCCTCGCCCGGCAGCAACGGGAAACCGGTGACCAACTCCACCAGGATGCAGCCGAGGCTCCACATGTCGATCGGCATGCCGTACTTGGCGCCGAGGATCACCTCCGGGGCGCGATAAAACCGGCTTTGAATGTACGTGTAGACGCGCTGGTTCTCGTAGCAGCTCGAACCAAAGTCTATCACCTGAAAAACGTGAGATTTTATTTTACAGACTTTTTTTTTCTCCTAACGGAGAGAACCAAGGCGAGGAAGTTTTACTTTCATTCTCAATGAAGTGAACTTATCCGCATTGGTATAGCTTTGCTTTCTTCTTCACAATCAGAGATATCACGAGATATACGAAGGGGGAGAAGTGGATCTAAAAAATCTGCAGTGAAACTTTCTATACAAATGCTTCTCGATAAGACACTTTCGTGCCCTTCGAAGCGTGAAATACTATAATGATGACAATAAATCTCAATAATTAGACGCGGGTCAATAAATACCGCCATTGATAATACCGGAGGATCCCGTCTTAATGGTTCCAGAGGATCTTAAACAGTCAGTCACTCTGACGGTATGCTATATCATTCGCAAACACTCGAACAATGTACGCTGCGAAGTCCAAGAACACCAGTCTGAAGTGTATCATGAATACTGTACGTGGCCTGCATGGAATCAGAGCGGAATATCGTTTACGGCACATTTGTCTGTGTCTCACCGGAAGGAACCGATTTTTTGACAGTATTCCGTCATTCCTCCGTTTGAGATCTAAATGTAAATTCAGAATAAAAAAAAAAAAAAAAAAATATTCATTTGTACTTCGGCTCGGAAGTCGGAATTTCTTTCTTTCTTCCTTTCTTTCTTTTTTCCTTTCTCCTTCCGTGGAAAAGTGGGAAAATTGAGGGGCGAAGTTTTAGTCTCGAAGACTTCAAAACGACGTTCGCCTCTTGTTATCGTCAATTATTAAGACGTCCGCGAAGAATGAAGGCGTGGCCGAAGTGAGAATTGACCAAGCCAGCGGATAATTCTGTGCGATCATATCTGTTTTTGCTACCGGCCTACTTTAATATTTCGGGCAACATCGAGTGTGCTCACATGCACGGCCCAACAGGAACACGCCACACGTTGGAGTATATCCAGAGTTATAGCGGCCCGCTAGATTTATCGGCGAACCTAGCCCTATGTAAATTTCAATCAGCTATAACGCTCGATTATCCACATACAGGAGCATTCATTTCTACCTGTACACCGGATCTGTATACTACTGGTATAGGTATTAAATCATGCGAGCAAGAGAACGTCCAAGAATACGATATTATGGCGAAGAGAAGAAGAACGAGCCACTAAAAGTCAAAAGTTACTGGCTGAGGTTAACTATAAAGAATCTTGTAGCCTACAGCTTGGAACTCGTGGATAATTATAATTTATATAGAAATAAATAATATTTAGGATAATTATAATTAACGATTAGAATAGACTCCAGACTGTTTAATTCAATTACTGAAACGAAATTGGTTAGTTTAAGTGAACCTGTGCAAATTGAATCCACTGAATTATCTACTGTTTGGACGAGAAGTAGCCAGAAGTAGAAAGAACTGCACATGCAGGGGAAGCTGTTTGTCTCGCAACAGCGTCAGATAAATGGACTTCTACCATATAGCCGAAAATCTAGGTATTCTTGGAAACTTCGGAATACTTAATGTAGCACCAAGGAACGTAAAGACAGAAGATATGTGGAATCAGTGGGATACACCGACTGAAACGTACGATCTGAAATATATAATTGCTCGTATCGAGTGTGAAAAACAGGCGAATACCATTTTTAAAGATCGACACGACAATGCGCATTTAATTATCGCGTCTTATCAATGTAGAAAATTTTACGCACGCGCACACATACGACAGCAATCTATCTCACCGCATTCCAACCTCCGCGTACATTCTTAGAAAACGCAGGTCGATCGCAACCAGTGGTCTGTGTCCAACATAAACATTCAACTTCTTCCACTCGATCCTCTCAATCGCTCCTCGTCTGCGTTAGACTCGCAAATCACCCACTCGACG